AGTTAGGAGTTGTTCTGTGTCAGCAAAGCACCACAATAATTCAGGACAGAAGTGCTAAAGCCAGACAAGCTGTCACCAGTATGCACGTGAGGGTCCAATCTTTATCTGTGTGTTGTTAAAACTTAAACCATATTTTGTTGGTGTGAATAACTGAGACTAAACTAACCTCTAGTAAAGAGGTTAATAACTGGGATTCATGGTATTTTGGATGAAGTTGGCAGATAGTGTGGGACATAGTGTGGGACAAATTGATTCTTCACTTTTCCATCACTTTTGATTTTTAATATATTTCTGCCTGGTCAGTGTCTCTGTTAGATTTTCTCCACCATCCCTGCTTTCCATTAACAAACGTGAGCCAAAGCAAGGTGCTCCATCGCAGAGCGTGGCTGCAGCACACCGTCCCTCCTCCAGCTCGGATCCAGGGACCTGCCCTGGGCTGAGGCTCCAGAGCAGCAGTAGCCCAGTGGCCATTGGAAAGACATTGCAAGCCCAGCACATCGGTGTCTCATCCATTCTCCCCAAAATGTCCTTTTCCAGATATCCTTCAAGAGCCAGGCTAAAAATTTCGAGTTTGTAAAGCAAATCAATTGTGCCAGAAAATTTTTTGCTAAGCTGCAGTTGAACATTCCAGAGGAGAATTTCTAGTGTAGCCATCAGAGCCCAGCTTGGCACCACAGCAATGAGAGGCAGATCAAACAGAGACCGTTGCCCCTTCATATGTCACATCCAGCCACAGTGACACACATTTCTTTCCATTTAAAACTCTGGATAAGTAGGTATGTGCTGTAACTCAGCTGCATACAATTGAGACGTGGGGCCTCCCTGCCCATTGCAGGAAATGAGTTTGCTGTGTCAGTGACAGCCACCATGTTCTCTCTCACAGCCGTGGGAGCGGCGCAGCTCGGCGTGGCATTCTTCCACCGCGGGTGTGAGCCTGGCAAGCCACGGCTCTGCTGGCCTGCAGCCCCCTGTTCTGCCTCCAGCCTGCCTCACCTCTCCTCAAGGGCCCCAGGGACACTGGCTCCCTGTGGTTCCATCCAGGAGCAGCCTCTGCACGGCACCCCCCAAACCAGCAGGACACTGGAGAGCACATCGTTTGGAAAGTTTCTCCTGAGGTGGAGAATGCCTTTAGGATCATTTTGTCTAAATATGGCAATTCAGGGTTTTTGAAGCCACAAGTTATAAAATTCACTTTTCCCTATGGTTTGGATTGCTGCAGTGAGTAATGTCCATTTCTTAGTTAAAAAAAAAAAAAAAAAGTGAGAGTGTGGAAAGTAACAGTAAACACTCATCAAGTGGTAACCCAAAAGAATTTAATTTTCTTCATTCCTATCTGCATACCAGTTTAGTCCTAATTTAAGGTATGAGCAGGCTGCCCTGGGAGGTGCATTACTGTATAGTACATTCTTCTAGTAATTGAAAATAATGCCAAAGCAAACATATTTTTTAAAAAATAACCCTAAGAAGTAAATGGTATAGTTTGTTGCCCTCCATCTGGGTAGCTGTCTCAAAGGTCATAAAATGGGGGTCCTTTGGTGGGGCAGCGTGGTTTATGTAGCATATGCAGATTGGTATTTTGGCTTTAAGCCAGATCTACCTAATTTTCCATTTTGCTTCTATGATGAGAAAAGGTACTTGAGATGACTTCAAGGGGCAGTTTTGTGATTTCATCCGTATTTGTATTAAAGAGCCTTTTAAGAGTATTTAAGATTAAAACATAGCCTAAATAAAGTTTAAGGACAAAAAATAGCAGAGTTCACTTGTTTTATCAAAAGGCTGAGCTTGCAGCCAGGCACAGGCCCAACTCACACCACCCAAAAGCCCACACCTCACAGCTCTTCATGCTCTATGGTTCCAATGATTGTGCTGCAAGGCAAACAAACAGGAGCCAGAAAATTTGCACAGCCCCTGCAGCCTTCCAGAGTGTGGCTGTTCCTGTCTGCTCGGACATTCTGTAGGTAGGTGTGTGAACAGAGCAGAGAGTTGCACACATCCAGAAACCCCTGTGCCACTGCAGCAGCACATTCAGAGGAGGAGTGTATTGTGCTGCCAGGGTGGCACAGAGCACTGGGCTCCCTGCCTGGGAGCACACTGCCTTTGGCTGCTCCTGCCCCCACAGACTGCCCCCCAAAGAAAGCAGTCTCGTGCTTTTCACCTTGTTGGCAGCGCTCCTGGGCTCAGCACAAGTGCCTCTCTCTGCTGGGAGAGCAGCACTAAGGGAGCTGGAGCTGTGAAAGTGGCTTTCCCCACTTACAGTCCTGGAGGGACCATATAAGCAAAGAGCTTTTTCCAGTGAGCTAAATGGAGTTTTCTGTAGCAGAAATAACTTACGTAAAATAAAAACAAAGTTGGCAGGCAGTATAAAGGCTTAAGCTAATAAATGCAATATTTAGTAGTGTATATTTGCTGCTGAATTTGTAAAGAAAACCAGACTGCAAAGCTGGCATGAGCTATCAGTTAAGCACAATAAAGAGGAGTGTCTTGAAGTGCTCAATAATCATAAGAAAGTTTTCTCACCCAAGGACAGACTGAGTACATTGGCCTTTCTGGAATGTAGTCATCTCATACACAATGGCAATTTGAAGGTAACTTGAACAACTTGACTAAAAATTAAGATGACATATTTGTGAGTCTGTTTTGGTCTATGGGTAAAGGTGTTGCAGGAGAGAATAAGGTCTTGGGGAAGCCAGATATTTTCACCAAAAATACTTCACACTATTCATTAACCACAGGTCCTGCCTTCTATCCCATTGTCTGTTCGAAATGCAAGCATTTCCTGATCCTTCCTCTACACTTCTTCTTAGCTAAATAGCATGTTAAAATTGCATCTCTCTTCCTGGGTTTTTGGGGTTTTTTTGGTATATTTTAATAATTTCGCTTCTATCTAAATAGAACTAAGCAAATTGATAAACAGTCGGTAAATAAAGAGCATATTTCACCTTACATCACTGTAATTAAAGAACAGAGAACTCTGTGTACTCAGTTGTTTAATTACTTACATATATGAGTAGAGACAGATTTCAGTGTAAAGAACTACTAACTTTTGTGTAAAAGTTCCATTTAATTACAAAGTAGTATGTTTTAATAGTTGCCAACTAATAAAAACCACTCTTCCTTTAGAGAAGGAATTAAAAGTATAGATTCAAAATAGAATTAATGTTTTAAATAATTTTTTGTGATTTAGAACAGTGTTGCATTGGGTAAGCTAGTCAACATGTCTTCCCTTTGTATCATTCTTCCTGCATTTCAAATTACTCTGCTGCAGTTGATAAGCAAAACAATTTCAGAGATAGATATTTCAGACGTAACTTTTTTCTTCTGCACCAGATGGGTGTGACACAGTGAAGTCCAGTGATTAAAAAGATGTCCACCCCAGCACTACTTGTCTCATGTAGTATTATTAAAATATTCTGAATTATTTTTCTCTAATTCTTTTACTCTGTAGGAGGAAAACGTGTGTTCCCCAACTGAAAATTGAAATTTTTTACAAGTGTGGATACCTTAAGCTATATGAATATTAATCTTTTAAGATTTAAAGAAAGCAGTTCATGTTCAATGCTGTGCTCTGCCCATCTGTTGGACATTTCAAGATTTAAAGTCTTGCACCAACTTTTTCTCTAAAGATCATTGCTGTTGTGCTTGCTAGATGGACTTACTAGTATTGTATTACCTCTTGGGATAAAAGGGTTTGTCTTTGTTTAAAGTTCCTCTCTTCCCTAAAAAACTATTCTTGATTATTTCTCTTGGATAAACAGATCACTTGTGGGATCCCAAGAACAACTCACTTCTCTGCTAGGAACCAGCACTGCATCCCTTAGCTTTATGTGTAAGCAATTGTGAAAATCTGTTTCTCTGTAGAGATGTTAAGCATTTGTTAAGGTTTGCTGGTAGGGCTTCAGAAGACCTCCATTTGTTCTGCTCACATGAACAAAACTCTGCCCATGGCAAAATCACATTTTGATTCAGGGACTCCCTCTGGAAGTGAGGGTGGTTGTTGCCACTGGAACCCAGCTGGAAACATTTCATGTTCTTTGTTGTCTGCTTCCTCCATGTTAGCTTTTTCTTTGCTGTCCTTCATGGCCTGACCCTTTTGAATAATTCTGACTTGAAGAACTGCTGTTACAGTAAGAATTAGGTTCACATGTTATATACTTAGGATGAAAATACTTGGGATGCTCTGGCAGCCAATTGCCATCTAGAAAAGAGCAAAATTATTGCCTTCAGATTTTGCTTTACACCTCATTTAAGTACATTCATCTCTAGTGATGGACTCATTTATTGAGAGAGAGAGGGCAAAGAGACAATTCAGTATTTTTGTTAGTAACTCTTAATTCCTTATCAACAATAAAAGGTTTGTATTTCAGTTTGCCAAAGCAAAAGTGTCAGGGTGAACAAAAATGTAGTGAAATCTTCCAGGGCATGACAGGAAGATGAGTCTAGTTCCATTAACAGGTATAACAGGACGAGAAAGTTAAGAGGCACAGTTGATCCTAAGGTGTCATGCGGTGATGCCAGCAATCCTTCGGTGCTACCCTGAGATGGATTCAAGTTGACAAGTATCTGTTTAGATTTGAACTATAATAAAGCACAGCATAGACCAGTCACCATATGCCACATAGGAAATAATTGATCAGTTAAGCTTGGTGGCGTGCCTGATGTCAAATTTGCAAAGCTAGGCAAGATTGTGGGTTTCTGTACGTGTGGCTCATGCTCATAGTTCATATGATGTAGTTTGCATTTTCAGGTAACCATTGACAATTAGGATCTTTGGTGACTGCAGACAAAACCTGTGTGAACTAGCCGTATTTAAACATGCAAGTCTGACTTCAAACATCAGGGTTTTTTCATATCTTGTTAAAAGTAAATCTGTTGTTAGAAACAACTTGAACTCATTGGTATCAGGAATGTAGCAGGGCCATGCCTTAATGTTTAAATTAAAAAGTTTCGTCTGGCCTCACTAATCCGCACCCACCATGTTGCTGCTTGTTCTTTCTTTACAGAACATAGGAAACTTGGCAATCTGACTGTGACAGTGAAAAAGACCGTCCCCTCTCCAGAAGCAATACAGGTCCTCTACCAACGCATGAGATATGAATATGAGTTCTATTACTATGTCAAAGAACAGTTCCACCTGCTAAAGCGCAAGTTTGGACTGAAGTCTCATATCAGGAAACCGAGTCCCAGACCTGAGTTCTTCATTCCTTCTCCCCTGGAAACAGAAGAACCAATAAATGATGAGGAAGAAGATGATGAAAAGTGGCTAGAGGATATCTATAAAAGGTGATGGATGGAAGAGCTATCCTCTCTCTTCTGGTGACCCCTCCAGCTTTCTTAAGATTTTTTTTTTAATTATTATTAAAAGTGATTCCTTAAGGAACTGATTTAATGCGCAGCGGATTTGAAATGGAACAAAAGAGATCATTCCCACATGCTGGAGCCATTGGGAGATACCTGATTTTGCAGGTTTGATTCATTATACAGTGTTGGCTCTATAGCATCCTTCCTACAGCATAGTTCAAGAGAGAAGTACCTACCGTCTGTCACAAAATAACTTTTGGAATACACAGTAGTCCTTTGTGAACTGCAGAATACAAAAGAATAGATTAGGCATTCATGAAAAGCAAGTCTTAACAGATTCTCATCTCTCTCTTTGACCATAAAAAAGTCTTCATAGCATAACACTGTGGCATGAACTACAGGCAGTGAGCCGTTTCGGAGGAGTGCCTCTTTCTATCCAAAGCACACTGATATCCTAGTGGTATGGTCAGAGCCATTGCTTTGTCTTCAAATCCAAGGATACCAGGCTCAGGAAGAGGCTAGGTAACAGCTCGTTGAATTACCTGTGCCAGAGGAGTGAGGCTGCTGTTGTACCAAATCAGTACTAGTGAGTGTAAGGCAAGCTACAGGAACCAGATATTTTTGGTAAAACCTTCTAGTTCATAGAGTGGGAAAATTACCAGGTCAGTGAATGGCAACAACAAATGTAAAGTGCCAAGCAGAGCTTTATGTCAGCAGTTCAGTATGTTTCTGTCAGACTCTAAAGGAAAAGGTGTAACATGGGGTTTATGTTCAAAAATTGTATTTGTAGATTTTTATTATTCTTTCGGGTCACAAATCCAAAGAGATGCAGAAAAAGCTACTCATTAAAAAGCTGGGGTGATCTGGAGCTCCTATTAAGCACGACCTCTATTTCTGCAACTGCAGAATTTAATTGTTCACATCTGAATCTGAACGCAGCTTCCCCACCAGCACAAACACTAAAACTCCTGCTTTTAGTGTGGCTAGAAGGAAAATTAACAATATGAGCATACACAGCTTCTCTAGTTGAAATAGTTCAGAATCATCAAACAAAGACAAGAAGATGTGCTCTCCAAAACCAAAGCTGATTCAGTGATAGGTTTGAAAATGAGTCACTGTGAAAGTTGCCCTTGTTAATCACTACAAATATTATCTGCCAACACTAGGAAAGGGATCGGTGGAAACTGGTGAAAGAGAAGTAGCGCCACTGTGTGAGGTGCTGGAGTCATTCAGGTGGGTGTTCCTGGAGTGGGATTCCCTGTGATGTGTGGGTGTGCTGGCTGTTGGCCAGCCTGCCAGCCCTGGAGGTGCAGGAGGGACAGACCCACAGACAGCCCTGGGCAGAGCTCCTTGGCCTTCTGCTACACAGCAGAATAGGGGGAGTTTGGGGTCTTGATGAGGCCTTGCCTCTTATGCACCATTGTTGCCAGAGAAAGCTGGACTAAGAGAGAATAAGAGCAATAAATTCCTGTCCCCAGAGCACAGGAAAGAAGCAGGTACAAGATGTTGCAGCTGCTTGCCAGGATGAGGACAATCCACCTCTGTCTATTTCACATTCTTTCTCAAACATTTACCAGAAAATTTTTGGTTCTTATTCCACGGCTGCTTTCTGCAAGGCCATACTTCAGTTCGCTACATCAAGCAAAAGTTATTTTGTGATGGATGAAGCATATAAACTCAGGATCAGCTCAAATGGGCTTTCCAAGGGTTTCCTCTTCCATGAGCCTGCTGAGAGCCAATAAAAATTATGATCGATCTTCACTCCTGAGTCTTTACCTGTACACAGAGAATAAAAATAAAGGAGAGTTAAGACAAGATGCTAACTTACAGAAAATACTAGGAAGATTCTGTTCTCATTATTAACATCCAGGTTGGTGGTAGCAATGCACTACTGTGGGGGAGCACATTAAAGAAAGCTGAAAAAGGCACAGATAGTAACTAACATATTAGCTAAAATATGAATCTGCTGCATTGTATATTTTAAGTGGTTTCTATGAAATTACATTGAAAGAGTAATGATTAGTTTACACACTGTGGAGTTGTTATATTTTGGAAAGAACTAGTATTCTCATGTTTCTGAAATTCTGTTTCAATTCTTTTTCTGCCAGTGTTTTAACAGAATATAGTCACTTAACACATTCACCCTTCCTGAGAGTTCACTGCCACTTACAGTAAAGTCTGTTTCTATCTGTTTGTTTATTTAATGGTACCTTCAGCCATCACTACTTATAATCTAAATACAGAAGCTGCTTCGTGATTTACTCGCTAGGTTTTAATATTGTTGTATTTTCGTAACAATCAACCTGGCCTCTCCTCCTCAAATGGTAGTTCTTAAATTTATCTGGCACATAGCATCTAATATTCCTGGTCCTATGGCCTATTTCTCTGTAATTAAATATATTTTGCTTAACTTTTAAAAGGTACGTTATAAGCTGGTAAATCTTTGACTTATTTATTGAAACTTTTCAGCACATTCCAAATTCTAAGTTGCTCAGGAAGAAGTTGATTTAAGTAATTATATTTGGGTCTGATGAATATTTCTTATTCAAAAAAAATCACTCTTTGTAAGCCTTTAGTCCACAACAGCTTTGTAGAAAATGCCAACTTGGAGATCTTTCTGGGGGGAAAAAGGTGGCGGTTTAGCACTTACAAAAATAAGAAAATATATGTCTACATTAGCTTAGCTATAAATGAAGCAACATATGTTTTGGAATGAAATCTTCTTTAACTTATTCACTACTATCTCCTGAAATATCAATAAGCCATATGGTTCTTTATTTTCCAGTCCAATGATGTTTAAAAATAAAACTTGCACATTTCTTCCTGGCGCCATCGTCCTCTTCCTTACAGTAGTTTTCCTGCCTGGATGCAGTGACTGTGGGGAGGATATTGGAGTTGCACCCAACAGAGCAGGGCAGGATACAGCCTGGGGCATCCTCTGAGGGTCAGACTGGTGCAGTGAGACTGGAGCAGGTTGCTCCTGGGTTATTCCATCTCCCAAGCTGTCCGGAGGTGTGAGCTGAAGTCTGAATTGTTTTACTCACCTGAGATGTGTGGTCAGTACAGTGAAGTACATTGTCCAATGTTCCATGGCTGCTAAGTAGAAGTTTTATCCAGGAGAGAAACAACTTAGTCTCCATACACTTCATTTTTACTAGATACGGTATTTGATGGCCAGGCATAAAAGCTTCATTAGTCAGAGTGATGTTACTATGTAAGTGAAGTATCAATGCTTTCACATTAAGAGAGAATCAATGGTTGTTAAAAGGCAGCATTCTGGAAAAAAAATAAATTTTAGTCCTAAGTTTCAACTGACAATGACAAATTGTGCCATTTTTTGTTTCTGTTCAATTTACTTCTCTGCCACATGAATTTTGTTGGCGATGCAGGGCTAAGTCCAAGTGTCTCAAATGTTCTCTACTTGTATGTAGAGAAGCAACTTGGCAGAACTGAAAGTACATGAACCTGATGGTGTATTTAAAGCATTCCAGTTTCTTTGCAGTTCTTTTATCGTGGATCTTGGATGAATCATTTGAGTGTTAGGATGTAAAATGGTGCATTGTAGCATAAACACACAAGCAAAGCCACGAATTTTTAAATGTTGGAGAATACATCTGTGAATTCAAGCCATGGAATTTTTCCTCCTTTCAGTATGTGATACAATTAATTGAATGTACAGGTATGTTTTTTGACTAGCAAAGGAAACCACACTGCATGCCAACTTTTATCCTCTTATCAAATGAAAAAACATTGTCTGCCAAAGAATAAAATTCTACATTCTTTTAAAAAATAAAGACCTGATAATAAATTCCCAGCTAAGAGTAATGGTGCTCTGATAATTCCCTCCATTTTAAGAAAGGGAACATCTGTGATGTTAGAACATTAGCCTAAAACAACACAGCAACATTTTTGAGAGCTAAAATACTGTAATACAGTACCACAGCATTCCTTCTGTTTTATTTTTAAGGACTCAGCCTTTTTTGCAGGGAGTTCAGCTAACACATAAAACACTGTTGATCAGTCTGCTTGCACGAGCCAAGACCAGAGTAAAGAGCTGAGTGTTGCTACATACAGACCTCCGCACACAGATTGCATGGGAAGAACAAGGGTGTTACCCGGCCTTGGAAGTGCCTGTCTGCTGGCAATGGAATCACTGGAACAACTTTTGCAGGATCTGTCCCAAGGGAGGGTTTGCAAAGTTAGGTTCTGCTTAAGTACCCACAGGTATGGCAGGAAGGTGCTGGAAGGCAACTCCATGAGAAATGGCGACTGGAGGGTAAAAAACCTTCGCTGCAGAATATTTAATGTGGATGGGAAGGGATCTTGGTTTGAAGGTTGAAAGTTAAATTGCAACCAGCATAAATGAAGTCCTGATGTCTCACAGCTGAGAAGCAGTGGTAAGTTTGCTTTGGTTTGTTTGGAAATGGCGTTGTATGCCAAGCTGCAGTGTGCAGTGAATGTTGGATCTCAGTTGCAAGCTTCAGAATATCAGTGTGTGTGTGTGAAGAGAGCACCAGCACACCGTCATGGTTGAGTTTCAGCACCGATGGCTGACCCTGTCATCTTGGAAGAGCCTGCAGCAAGGTTTTTGTAGGGGCAGTGGGATGGGGGAAGGGGAAAGTTTTCTGCAAATACAAATTTGGCCTTGCAGACACCGTAAGATGGCAAGATTTGACCACTGGTTTATTTAAACTCAGATTTTGAATATAAACATGTGGATTTCCTTTTCTGAGTGTGTAAAGGATGTGAGTTGGTTTTGTATTTAACTGATTGTGGCTGGAAGGGTAAGTTAATAAAACTGCTGTCAGGCAGGCACATTGGAGTGTGCTTTATGCACACTTTTGTCATCTCTCTGTTCCCTTTGGATACAATGGGCAAAAAAAAAAAAAACCAAAAGTGAAAGAATTCAGCTATACTGCAGGGCAAGTGGTGCTGTGAAAAGTAGAGATTAGCAGGAATACATGGAGGTGATGCTGTTCATAAGATTATTGGTCTAAATGCAAAGATGATACAGAGCAACCAGCAGCAGTGGCACACAAGCTGCTCACTCTGTGGCTTTGTCTTATCTAGAAAACCTGATACCATGCTTCAAAATCAAATGCTTCTTCCAATTTTTGATTCGTACAGTTAAGCAGGACAGTGCTGGATTTTTTACTTTTTCCTTGTGCTTTCAAATTGCCGCTTCACCTCACAAACTTGGCGGAGCATAAGCACACAGCCTATTCCTGTATCTGATGTGCAGGAGTTCACCAGACACACGGATTTGATCCTTCTACAAACCTCTCTGCAAGTGCAAGTGACGAGCAGAGTGAAACAAATACTTGGCACGGTGTTGCTGCTAACAGGCGGAGTAATATTTAGTTACTGTGCCACAAGGGAAAGTATCCCTGCAGTTCTCCAGTTTACTACAGGAGACTTTGGATAACCTCAAGGGTCATGAGACCATTGTCAGGTAGCAAAAGTCAATTGCATGTCACAGTGTTGAACTCATGATCATCCCAGGTTAGATGCAGGAAAGAAGCAGAGGTGGTTACTGTTTGTAGCAGACGTAAGAGTGGCAGTCCCGGCTGTGGTTTCCCACAGCACACAGAGCTTTCTCTTCTAGAAGCTTCCTGTCTAGTTGGTGTGGTGGGAAGCTCAGGGAGAGGAATTCAGCTGCAGTTGTTAGTCTCTGACTCCTCAAAGAAGACAAGATTCTCAAGATAATGCTGGATAAGCGTGCTAGAAGAAGCGGCAATGAGGAACCTGCGCTGCTTCTTCTTCACAGAAGAGCTGTGATTCTTTTCCATTTTCACTTCCTCTGTTTGGTTCTATTTAGCTGTACTTGCCAGGGTCAGTCTGTGTAGGGTATTTCTTTCTGAACCATATTGTTTAATGAAATTATTCATACGCTTATCCTTTTGATCCACAGTGGAAGTAAAGAAGTGCTGTTATCCCCATTTCATACATTGGGAATGGTTACAGCAAGTGTGTAAGTGATATTCCAAATGTCACACAGAAAGGTTGTGAAAAAGAGCTGATGATAATTTATCCAAGTGTCTTAGTCCTTGAACTTTCTTTTCTGCTGTAAGATCAGCCCTAGATTGTAGAAGGCAAAACAGCTACTATGGAAAATTTTAGTTACTTGGAGTCTTTTCCTTAAAACTGGGAAAATCTTTTGGTTAACTGCCTAAATGTGAATGATATTTTAGCCCTTCTGCAGACCATTTATTTCCTTTTGGGACAAAGATTAATTCCAAGTTTTATCTGTTCAGTTGCGTACTAAAGACCTGCAGGAATGGTGTGGTTGTAAGATGTTGTTGTGTTTGGGAACAGTGTTCCTGTAGCAGTTAGGAGGAGATAAGCAGATAGATAGGTGGCTGAAGTCACATCTTGTAAATTTAGTCATTCACAAGAACACAGTCACATTTTCTCCTGCAATATGTGGCACTTGTAGCCTACCTGAAAAGTCATCAGACCTGTGTTCATGTATGTGGTCTAAGCTGTGTTTTCATTTGGTTTTCCACAGTGCTTAAAACCCCAGAAAAAGAAGCAATGCCTCGCTGTTCAGCAACCAGCACAGAGTGAAAAGAGCTCTCCCACAGCTCCCAAGCAGTCAGTTCTGTCTGATGTACTCATAAACCCCAACTTCTGATACCTTCTGCTTACTGGGTAGGGGCATATGCCTCTCACCTGAGAGATCTGGTGCTTTCCTCTCATCTCTTCCCTGCCCTTCCCTCACCTGGACAGCACACACCATTAGAGCTTTTGCCTAAATATTCTTGGGAGCATCTTAGAGAAGATTGTGCAAATGTGGCCATAATCCTCTCTTCCAAGTGTCCATGCATGAGCTGTGAGCCTGGCTCCAAACTTCAATAGTGGGGGAAGACTCTTGATTTTGAGCCCACCTTGCAGGTGTCATCTTTGTTCCTGCTCCAGATGTAGTTTCTGTTCTGAGTGGTAGGACAGGTGCTGGCCTGTCTCTGTTGAAATAATGAGGCTTAGCCAAATTAATACCAAATCCTGCCCCTCTGGCTTTGGGCTGAATCCTGCCCCTCTGGCTTTGGGCTGGGAGGCTGAAATGCGCTGGCAGGTAAGCCCGTCAGGGCGCAAGGAATTCTCCATAGTGTCAGTCCTACAGTGTGAGCAGAGACACTCAGTGCCAGCAGCAGCCCTGGGGGCTGGTGTCTGAGTGGGGTGGGGGAAACTAAGCCGGTTCCTCACTCATGGCGCACTGGTGGGCACTTCTGCCAATCTGCCTTGGACAAGTTTCTGCTGGTCCTGTCAGCACTTGCTGCGGAAAAGAAACCTTTTTTCCTGCACTTCTTTGGACAGGAAGCTGGCAAAGAAAACCCAGCAGTGCTTCTCTTCCATAGAGGCTGCAGAGATCCTGGGGAGATGTCAGGGTGTGGGGGAGGGAAAGCAGCAGCCTCCTGCCTGCCCCACGGGCTGAGTTCCAAGCTCTTTCTCATCAGACCGAGGCAGGGTGGTGCTGGTAGAGGACAGTGCTGCATGAAAGCACTTTTTCCCTGAAGCATGAAAACCCAGCTCTTCACAATGGAGTCTGGTGTCAGAAACTTAGCCATGAAAACTCCTTGGAGTCTCTCTGCACAGTTGTAGCTTTCCATCTGCTTTTGCCCCAAAGAACATGATTTGGCCCATCAGCCCTGGCTGGAAACTGAGCTTTCTAGTGACTTCACAATCCAGCCCTTGTCAGTCACGCCACTTGGGTCTGTGCATGGGGCTCTTTGTGATAAACCTCACTGGAATTTGGAAAACATTCAACAAATTTGACCTCTACTTTGTCTTACAAATATCAGTGTCAAGCAGCATCATGCATGCTTTATCGCTCCAAAATGGGGAAAAGGAGATTGAATTAGTGCAGTCAGCTCTGATTTTCCAAAACAATATCTTCTGAGTTAAAAAAGCTTTTTGCTTCTCAAAAAGAAAATACAATGTCCTCTTTTTGCCCCGGGACTGGGGTTTCTTCTCAAAATTACTCTAAATCCTTATGGACATGGAGTGGTGAACCCAAAGGAGCCTAAAGCATTTTTGTCTCCTGTAGGTAAAGCACTACAGCAGATAGCTCCAGCAAGGAAGGCGAGGTGAGACCCAGCCCATTTCTCTGTTTTCACTACAGGAAAGGGAACAGAGGCATTGGAAAAAACCTTGGCCAAGAGCAGCTCTGACCAAAGTTGAGCTTCTTACTTCTCTACAAAATAGAAAAGCATAAAATAGATAGCAAAGCTCACTGGGGCAATCCAGGGAAAATGCATCTCTCTGCAGGTCAACATCTTTCCCAAAAGCTGCTGCTCCTGCTAAAGTAAGGAAGAGCAGACCCTTTCTTCCCTTGGCAATGGATGTGGTCCCACAGTGCCCCTCCCCAGCCCCTGGCAGAGCTGCCCAGGCCGTGGGGCCGTGCTGGTGCTGTGGCAGGAGGAGATGAGGATGCCTTGGGAGCCCGGCCCGCTGCTGAATCGCTGTGTGGCCCAGCCTAATTGCTTAAAGCTTTCCTTTTCCCCTCGCTGCGAATGCTGGAGTGCAGTATTTATCTACTCTGCAAAACTTTTATGAGAATTGGTAAGGTTTTGTAGAATTCCTGAATAACAGGGATCACAATAGCTGCGGCGGAGCCAGACTATGCAAACCCAAACGCTTGCACTGTTGGCCTCATTTACACACAGCCTCTGCAGGGAGGAGCTGTGCTCCTCTGCCTCCCACCAGTGTCTGGGAAAAGTGCCCCAGACCCTCACAATCCAGCTGAGGTGCAGCTGCTGAGTGCCCACAGCACTTCAGCCTTCACCTCCCTCCTTCT